ATATATATTGTTTGTTTTCACCTCTGAAGCAATCGCAATCTGCATGTGGACGGTTAAGTATTATCTAAGGAGATGTTTAGTTGAAGAATTCAAATCATAATTTGAATTATGGTTTATGGTTTGTTATAGTATTTTCTCTCATAAAAAATACACGTAAATTAAAAATAATTCTAATAACATGATTCTAATTCATGAACCAAACGTAAACTAACACTCCTTTCTAATTGACAAAAAATATGTACATATATTATAAAAGGAACTTTGGTGACCAAAAAACATCACGGAAGAACTAGAGAGAAATGTTCCTTTAGATTCATGATCCTCTTTTCTCACGTTAAAAACAAACTGAGGCCCCGTTTATTTCGCCGATTCGAGTTTTGCTACAGTAAAAAGCTCTCAGAAACAGTCACATCTAATTTTTTTGCTATAGTAAAAAGCTCTCACCTAAAATCACATCTCAACTCGAATTACAAACTCGAATCAGCGAAGTGAACGGGCCCTAAACTAAAGAGGGGTATAGTTAATTCTTTGCGATTTGGAGACATGGTCCCGTTCATTTCGCCGATTCGAGTTTAAAATTCAAATTTTGCTACAGTAAAAAGCTCTCAGAAACAGTCACATCTAACTTTTTTACTACAGTAAAAAGTTCTCATATAACGCCACATATCAACTCAAATTAAAAACTCGAATCAACGAACTAAACAGTCATTTTATTTCTCATTTCCAATAAAGACGATATCTAGATAATTATTTTCTTTCGGCTCGACCTGGCCCGTTGATGCACATGGTAACATAGAGCCAATCCTACACACACACGAGTCTCTAAGCTTGAGCCCCACAACTTGTCTACATGATATTATTATTAGCAAAAGCTACTTTGCACCCAAGCCGCAAACATCCACATCTCACCAACATGCTTTATCCGTGCAATGCCATCCGTTCCTCCTTTTTGTCATATTTGACACCATTTTTGTTTGACGTTCATAATCATCACAACCATTAATTGATAAATTGAAAAGACTGTGAGATGGAGAAGTGAGGATTATAATATAATTTTATTGGAATTATTGGCAAAAAATTTTATTTATGGGGAGGTTTTTTTTAATAGGAAAATTTCATTTAATAATTAAAGGTAATACAAACTCTAAAAAGTTATAAATAACTACTAAATATAAATGTATTCGACCAGAGACAAAAATTAGATTCACTGTTTAAAATAAATGAGGCACAAAGGCGAACACGAGTATTGAGGCACAAAGGCGAACACGAGTATTGAGTCCCAATGAGAAATAAAAGACCCGCTTAGACATTAACAATAACAATCAAGCGTGATAAAAGCTCGTTTCACAAAATCACTACAATCGATGGATAAAACCAGTTGACTGAGACCAAATGACCCAGAGCATTACACTCACAACATCGCATAACGGGATAAACCTACCACCACCATAGAAAGGTGAGACGACTACCTTCATTATTACACGACGAAAACATAAAAACTAGAACGGCATAATCAACACTGCTTTTATTACATCAAAATATAAACTAAAAACGAGACAAAGTCTCTCAACCACACAGACAAAATCTTCGGCGATAAGTTGGCCACCAATATCATAAAGGATAGATCGGCAATGACCCACACGACTCCACCACCGACGTAAGCACTCATCCACGCACAACTCCCCCCTCTATGACCACCGTGATGCGAAGAGTGAGATCCTGAGATTGTAGATACGTCGGAGATCTAACATGCACAACATGATTGGTCAAAAAATCGGCACCTTATATCCCTCCTCTCCTTCTACAAAGTTGCCACCACCACTATAATAATTGCCATGAGACCTTGAGCTCCATATTTAAGACCGGAGGTCCAACAACTAGCCAAGATATGACTCTAGACTCCGGCCCTAAAAGAGAAAAGCGAGCGACACATAAAGAATATAAAATAATTTTAGAGATACAAAAGGGAGAGCGGGAAAGGAAGAGCGACACGTTTTTGGGGAGGTTTTTTTAAGAAGAAAATAATACTAAGGTCAATTGCTTATTGCAAGAATAAATTTTCCGACTCTATAATTGACCTATCTTTCCGTAAGAGAATTATCTAGTGGCGTTAGCAACAATATATGCAAAGTAGAAAGTGTTTATTCTATGATTATAATGGTACCTTTTTAGACATTGATGACGATCTTTCTATTATTAGAAAGGAAAAGATGCTACCTTGGGGATGATTATAAGGATCTTTCTGACAAAGGAATTTTCAACTTTGATAATGTTTAGCGTGAAAATTCTCTGAGTCTTTGACCCTAGGGTTTCGTTTTTGTGAAGATTACAACATGATTGCTAAATTACTCCTCTTAACTTGCTTCAATGCTTGAAAATTGGAATACCATGCTGTCCCTGTTTGGATCTCCCATACAAATGTGCTTGTGTTGACTAAACATAAGCCAATTTAATACGCAAAGTTTGAGTAATAAATATCTTTCTGCTCGTTTCCCCATTTAGATTGGAATGAAGGGTGGTCCAAGCTAAAAGCCAAAGAAAAGTGAAAGATGGGAGAATTAGCGCTTCAAAATACTACGAGGAAATGAGAGGAGAAGCAGCATATGGGTTCAAAAATCAGAAGTGTGTTTTTGGGGGATATATATATATGGGATTATTGGTGGCTTGCCTTGTTGGACTTTGCTTGCTTAGCTTGAGGATGTGGTAGACATGAGAAGGGACAAAAATACCAAAAGTTTGATTGATAGTGCCAAGGCAATGGATTTGAAAACCAATTATATTTAGAAGAGATTCCATCCTGTTTGCAATTCCTTGTGTTTTTACACCAAGGAAGGATATTACGAGTCTGTTTAGTTTGTTGATTTAAATTTTTAATTCGAATTGAGATGTGACTTTATGTGAGAGCTTTTTACTGTAGTAAAAAAAATTAAATGTGATTGTTTATGAGAGCTTTTTACTATAGTAAAACTCGAATTGGTGAAATAAAAGGTTATTACAACAGTTAAAATTAGCTTGTGGCTGAAATTAGCAAACAAAAAGCCAATTATTTAGGTGGACAAACTACGTCATCCAACATATGTTCTTTTATTTACATTTTTATTTTTTTATTTGTGAACAACAAATTAAATATCTCATTCATGTTCTTTTATTACATTACCTTTTATAACAATAAATGCTTTTGAATTTTTACCCAAACAAGTTTAAAAGCTCTTTTTAGATATAAAAGTATTTTTTTAGCCACTATCCAAACACTAAATTAAAAATCTCAATCTATTTCTTCTATTACTTAAAAGCACAAACACAACACAAGCTATTCCAAACAAAAATATTTTAAAATATGACATGTGAATTTGTGATTAATTAAAAAGGTTTAGTGATGATCATAAATGATGATATATGACATAACTCAAAATATTAATACAATTCGTTGTAAGTTTAGACTAATATTTTACACTTTTCTTTCTTTAAAATTAAAGTCTATTGTTTTATATTTCTTGTCTAAAGTTGAAAACTATATTATATATGCATAATAACAAAACAAAAAAAAAAGAAACAAACTTTGCATAATCGTAGCCGGTCCTAGCAAAAGCACAGAGAGATAAATTTTCATAGCTAGAGGCTCCGTGTATTGTCGGGCATTTGGTTGCTAAAATTTATCTACAAGCTCCTTATTAGATGTTAAGTTTACGGTAGGATTTGTGCCATCTGCATAGGAGGATGGTTGTCATATCAAATCTAAATAAGAGATGAGATTAGAGATTGCAATTTTAACTGTAAATTCATTTATCCGCGGCGACCCGCATTAAATGGGGCAGGAAAAATTAGTTTTAAACATATCCGAATTATAAACGGGTTAAAATTTTAATCCTGTCACAGGTCGTGAAGTAGAGACGGGTTTAGAGGTCCCCGACTCTATTCTCCGTTTACTCGTCCCGTTTAATTATATTCTATTTTTAAATTAGATACATTATGTATAATATGCTATAGTGTATAATCTTAAATATAATCTATTACATATTATGTATGCAAATTTAAAACTATCTTTTTTTTTACTTAATGTTTTATATGTTTATTTATTTATTTTATAATGAAAATAAATAATCGAGTAAATGGGGCACCGCAAATACTCCGAACTCGTGACGAGAAATCTGTCCCGTAACCCGTCAACTTATGCGGGTTCATAAGGCGGGTATAGTGAGTGTTTTTGTTCGCCGGGGCTGGTGAGAAGACCATTCTGCCCCAAATCCACCCCGTTTCCATCCCTAGATGAGATAGTCATTGGACTTGAGGCGATTTGGACGTGTTGGTATTCGTCTCGACCTACCTTGAGGAGGTTGTGGTCTGTGAGAGAAGTTGAGTCATCTTATAGTGCACTCGCTGGTTATCGCCGGAGTGTGTTTACCAATCACTCTTCTTTTTTATCGTTTTATTTCGATGGTGTTGATGGGTCTCACTCTCTTTGGTGTTTTGATGTTCTAGTTTGTAGATTTTTTCATTTTTCATTGGTAATAATAATAGTGGTTCTTATCTTGATTAATTTAGATTATTATTTTTTTGTTTGCAAGGTATGTTTCTTTGCGATTTTTGTCTAGCCTTCCTGCTATGAGTTTCTTGACATCAATTGATCTAATTGTTTCCATCAAATGTAAAGAATATGTTAAAAGAGTCATGTGTGTATTTGATTTTTGTGTATCTTTTTGGATAATTTCTGTTTGTGGAGTTTGGCACACAATATTTTTTTTTAGCTTTATTCAAATTTATTGATGAGACCGGTTATCTGTGTTACTTATAATAAGGGTTACTGATGAGACCGACTATCTATTTTGTTGTGTTTCCTGTAATAAGAGTTATGTGTATAGATTGTTGTTTGTAATGTCTTCTCATATTTTGAAACATATTATTCATGTTAAAAAAATATTATATATTATAGATATCAACGCAAAATTTTCCCAAACTTGGCCACCAACAAAAGACTATTATATATCATAATAAAAAAGAAAAGCTAGTTATGTATGTATTAGTAGTCCAAGATTTCGCCTCAAACAAAGGAACGGCGCATAAAACACCCCGAATCAAAATCGTCACTTTCAGTCTCGTACTTCATCACCGTTCACCCACACAAACATTTCTCTCTCTCTCTCTCTCTCTCTCTCTCTCTAGACTCTGCGGCTCATTCATAGTTCTCTCCGAGGACGACCCAAGAACCCCAAGAAAACCAACCAAACCATATTCAAACAACATTCATTCATGATTCCTCATCTACATCTTCATCTTCTTATCGTCGTAAAATGACCGTAAGAAGTGGGCCCGAACAAGAATCGGAATCAGCGAGCAACAACCCAAGGAACGGTTCCATGAGAGTTATCGTCCCTCTCCAGGGCGTCGTTCAAGGCAGAGGAGGTCTCGTCCTTGGCTCCCTCATCCCCTGCGCTCTCTACTACTTCCTCCAGCTCTTCCTCAAACGACGCCGTCCCGACCCTCCTCCTCCTTCTTCTCCGCCGGAATTATTGGATTCTCCGTCGCCGGCGGTTCTTCCCCAAACCCTGTCCCGGACGCTCCTCTCGCCGAGGGGATACGGCGGGCCCCCTTGCGTTTCGGGTCGGGTCGGGTCAATCTTGAAGGGTGGTGAGTCTCCTTACTTTGTTGGGTTGAGGAAGGTCGAGGAGGACCCGTACGATGAAGTGCGTAACCCGGATGGGGTTGTTCAGCTTGGCTTGGCCGAAAACAAGGTGGGTTCTTTTTTTTTTTTTTTGGTATGGTTCTTTTGATTGCCATTGTTGATTTGATGGGTTTTCTTTTTTTGTTTTTGTTTTTAGTTGTCGTTGGACTTGGTAAGAGATTGGCTTGTGGAGAATGCGAGGGATGCTATGTTGGGTGGAGGAGGAGGAGGAGGAGGGAATGTTCAGAAGCTGAGCATAAGTGGGATTGCTAGTTATCAGCCTTTTGATGGGTTAAGGGATTTGAAAGTGGTATGTTAATGTTATGTGATGTGGTGTAACTTTTCACATTATATTATCTTATCTTAGTGTCTTCTAATTTTCTAATTTTTGTTTGGTACGATGATTCAAATTATGGTGATTCTAATTATAATTTTACATGATTCATGATTTTAAGTTCAAATTATGATTCTGAAATCATGCTTCAGAATCAGGAGTTTGAATCATCTTAAATCAAGATGGGTGATTTTAAAATCATAAGTGATTCTGATTTAAAACATCACATCAGACTCTGAATCATGATTTAAAATCATCTAAATTAAACACTGATTCTGAATCACTGTAAACAAACACTGATTTTGAATTAAGATATAAAATTATGATTTTAGATTAATCTACCAAACGCCCCTTAAGTAACTCAATTCTCTCTGTTATGTGGCTTAAAGGAGTTGCGGGAGTGTAAAACTAGTTTTATGTGGCTTTGTTTGTTGTTGTCATTATGCTAGCAAGAAAATGGGCATGTACATTATAATGTCCACGAATTCGAAAATGTTGAGATTAGAGATGGCCATGTAGTTGTAGTTTGCGTGTGTTATATTGACAACGTTGGGTTAAAGAACTAGTGTGGTCAAGGGTGTGAGTTTGTTGTGAAATGGGTTTCTTCTCAAGCACTTCAATCTAAGCTCAACTTTTAATGGATTTACCAAGTTTGACGTATATTTGCATCTCTTCACTTAAGTAGATTGTACCTCGTAGTAAGTTTTAGTTCGTAAAGATTGGGAAACCAGTGTTCTGTTATATGATTGATTCATTGATTGTAGATTGGGAAACCAGAATTTGCGGAAAGTGAATTCATTATGGCGTATTTACCAAGTCGTAAGGGAATTGAGATTGGAAAAAAAATAATAATAATTGATTGTTTTTAGACAACTTATGCGGTTGCCCTCTTAATTATAGGCCTTGTCACAAAATGCCATCCGAACTTTAATTTTAGCTTTTTTCCTCCCAAATTTCAGTAGTTTTTGCAAATTTTCCTTTGTTAAATTCTTGATGGAAAATTTCATGTAAAATGCAAAAATTACAAAAAGAACTCCTTATGTTAAGATTTTTAACATACATAACACTTATTACATAAATAATGAGTGCCTTTTGAATAATTTAGTAAACAATTACTCTGTTAGCTCCTCTTTATATAGTCACGTGAAAGTGCAATTACGCAGTAGGAGTTATCATTTTTTTTACTATTCCTAACTTTCTCTTTAATTTGCTTGACCTAGTGACCTTTGAGGATTCATAAACGATGGCGAACAACAATAACAGAAGTAAAAATTTAATAAGGTGGAATTTTGCAAGAGCTACTGATGTTTAGAGAGAAAAAAGTTAAAATTAAAGTTCGGGGTGCATTTTTGTGACAAGACTTATAATTCGATGGCAACCGTATCATTTGCCTCTTTCTCCTATTTTGTGCCATAAAGGAGTGCGCCCAAAGAGTGATTATAGTTTCTGGTGTGCCATTTTGTGCATGCATTCGCAATTTGCCACCTGTCCGGAGACATGGTTGAACATTATGGCATGGTGAAGTTGATTGTTGGCATAAGTATGCATTTACGCATGTACTAATGAAGATTATTGTTCTTTTCGTTTTCAGTAGTAACTTTTTCCAGCTTTGCAGGCTGTAGCAAGTTTCATGTCTCAAGTTATGAGAAATTCAGTCTCCTTCAACCCCTCGCAAATTGTATTAACAGCTGGTGCATCACCTGCGATCGAAATGCTAAGCTTCTGCCTAGCAGATAGTGGAAACGCATTTCTCGTCCCTACACCATGTTACCCGGGGTAGTAGTCACCAATGTCTCCATTTCTAAGTTGTTTATGCAGGTTACCGGTTATGCTTTGAGAAAACTAAAGTTTTGAACATGTTCTGCAGTCTGGACAGGGATGTGAAATGGCGAACCGGAGTGGAGATAATACCTGTTCCATGCCGTAGTACAGACAATTTCAGTTTAAGCATAACTGCTCTGGACCTTGCATTCAACCAGGCAAAAAAACGTGGTCTAAAAGTCCGGGGAATTATATTATCGAACCCTTCAAACCCAGTTGGCAATCTCCTCAGCCGAGAAACACTTTCCAGCCTGCTAGACTTTGCCAGAGAGAAGAACATACACATAATATCGAACGAGATATTTGCTGGCTCCACTCGTGGAAGCGAAGAGTTCATAAGCATGGCAGAAATCATTGATTCGGAGGATCTTGACCGCGACAGAATTCATATAGTTTACAGCCTATCAAAAGATCTCTCTATTCCGGGGTTTAGGGTCAGTGTATTGTACTCCTTCAATGAGAATGTTGTGGCTGCTGCTAAGAAGTTGGCGAGGGTTTCATCCACATCAGCTCCATCCCAACGGTTGCTTATATCTATGCTTTCGGATGCGAAATTTGTTGAGACGTTCATTGAGACAAATGGGGAGAGGCTAAGAAGAATGTACCGCAAATTTGTCGCAGGGTTGGAGCAATTGGGCATAGAATGCACAAAGAGCAATGGGGGTTTCTATTGTTGGGCAGATATGAGTAGATTTATCTTTTCTTACAGTGAGAAAGGTGAGCTTGAGCTATGGGAAAGGCTGTTGAGTGTAGCTAAGGTCAATGTAACTCCTGGATCTTGTTTCCATTGTATTGAACCTGGATGGTTCCGTTTGTGTTTTACTAACTTGGCAGAAAGCGACATTCCCGTTGTCATGGAACGAATTCGGAGAATATCCGTCGCCTGTAAATCTCACAGTTGAAAATATTGTTGTTTATATGTATAGGGGTAGGGTTGCCTACAAATTCTTTTGAAGGAGAGCTTGCAATGGAATGAATTACTTGGTCCTGATGTTATTAATATTATGGACTGATTACCTCAACACAGAGAAATGCTAAGTCAGAGGAATAACTAATGAGATCATGCAACTTTTCCTAAAAAGAGAGATGAGAAACAACCTAATGAAAATTCAGAATTCTGGTGCTATCAGTTTCGAACTTTTGCTAAAGTAGCAGTTTGGTTACTATAATTTATTCTTGGCTGATTAGTCCTTAAATTTAATTCTTTGACGGTTTTGATCTTTAGCCCTAAAATTGACAATCAACTTTTAAAATTTAACGAAAGTAGTCAAAAGTGTTTATGACAGTTACAAACGCTAAGGTGCAAAATGTTACAACTTCACATGGATTTTTAACGTTAAAATTACAAGTTATTAAGGTGAATATGATTACCTCCATTGAATTTTTGAATGTTCATAGATAATTTTATCGCCAGAGGCCAAAGCTGTAAAAATAAATAGCAGAAAATTTAGGGACTAGTCAGATTAAGAAAAAAGTTTTAAGGACTAAGCAGTCAAATTTACTAAAAGTTTTAAGGATGAAGGTGTCAACAAAACAAACCTGAAATTTAATGGAGAACTTCAATATTAACACAATCTCTATATACATGCGCACGTGAGGAAAAGGCTTTGATTCCGTTCCACGCTTAGGCTAAAAGTGAGACAATAAAAACCATTTCTTTATTGGAAGAATCACTAATAACAAAAGAAACAATTGATTTTTTTGGTAAATCTCAATTAAAATACAAAAGAATTTTTCTATTTGTTTCCTATCTAAGAGCCATTTTCCCTCTTCACAATTGCCCAAATTCTATCCCAGCTATACTAGTATTATTACTCTGATCCCTTCTGCTCCATAAAATGCTTTCTCTAAGGTAACAAATACAACACTTCTCTAAGGTCATTGTGATTCTGATCCATTTCTAATGGACTCAAGAACCTGAACAACCTCTGCCATGCTTGGCCTTCTAGAAGGAACCTCAGATGTACATATAAGCCCCAACTTCATGACCTGAATAAGCTCATTCTCCACAATACCCCTCAAGCTTCTATCAAAGCAATCTGAAGCAGACCCACTTTCCAACAATGCCCTTACATATTCACACAACACCACAACCTCACTAGCCCTTGGACTCTCAACTGGCTTCCTACCTGTGACCAGCTCCAAAAGAATCACCCCGAAGCTATAAACATCGCACTTCTCGCTCAATCTCAAGCTTTGTGCCAACTCTGGAGCGACGTATCCCACAGCATTGTGGAATTTGGTTAAGCCATAGTTGTCCAAGATGGGAAGCAACTTTCCCAAGCCATAATCTGACAACTTGGCATTGTAGTTCTCATCTAAGAGAATGTTGGTGGACTTGATGTTGAGATGGAGAATTGGTGGCCTACAATCATGGTGAAGGTAGGCAAGGGCTCGCGCCGTGCCCAGAGCAATCTTGAACCTCCTTGACCAATCCAATTCACTATTGCCGCCACCAGTGCTGGTGCCTGGATAGTGAAGACCGTGAAGATTGTCATACAAGTTCCCATTCGGGACAAACTCAGATAGAATCAACTGCATACTGGAAGACCAGTAGTAACCTTGAAAGGCTACTAAATTGGGATGCCGGAGATTGCCTAGCCGTCCGATTTCCTGCTCGAATTCATCTTGGTTTCTTATCCTTCCCAAAGTCTCGAGCTTCTTCACCGCAATGGAGACCCCACCTTCAAAAGTCGTCATATAGACTGTCCCAATTGATCCACCACCTATCATACACTCCTTGTCAAGCAAGGCCTTTGTGCCAGACTCCCAGTCTTCATACTTTGAGGGTAAGCTTTTGCTGAAAAGAACCAGTTTCCCAATTATGACGCTCGAATCGGTTGAAGGGAGTGGGGTGCTCTCAACAACCATCTGCTCCTCGTCTTTCTTCCTCCTTCGGGCAACAATGTTCATAACAGACACTAGACATACCCCTGTAAGGATCACTGCAGCAGCAACAATTGCAATAATGGCAGACACAGTTAGGGGATTTTTTTTCTTCTGACTTGAAGGTGCTGTACCATTGCCTGTGCAAGGCTTGTCCAAAGGGTTACCGCAGAGCAAGGGATTGTCAGAAAATGCGGAGATGCCAAATTGCTGGATGGTAGAAGGAATGGTGCCAGAGAGATTATTAGAGGAAAGGTTAAGATTGGTTAAATCTTTTAGGCTCCCAAGAGAAGGAGGGATTGGCCCTGAAAGTGAATTTTGTGACAAATCAAGAATTTGCAGTTTTGACAAGTTTCCGAGGGTCGGTGGAATGCTTCCATTGAGATGATTTCGATGTAGGTCGAGGATTTCAAGGTTAGCCATGTTGTAAAGAGTATTGGGAATTTCTCCCTCTAAGGCATTGCCAGAAACATCCCTGCAGAAACAACGCATCAGGAAATTTTGCAAGTTAAAAAGAGCAATATCGATACGAAATCAAAATCAAGTACTGGATCAGGTTGGACTTACAGCTCACGAAGAAGTTTGCTGTCGCTTATATCAGCAGGTATTTCTCCAACAAGGTTGAGATTGTGGAAATCCAAAACCTGAAGCTGAATGCTAGAAAACCCCTGGGGAATTACACCGCTTATAGAGTTATTCCCCAACTGAATCACCACAAGCTTCTCTAGTCTAACAAGCTCAGTTGGGATACTTCCAATAAGCCTGTTATACCCCAAGTTTAAAACCTTAAGACTTCTACAATTTGCAATTCCCACAGGGATCTCCCCATCAAAACCATTTCTTGAAGCATCAAAAAACTCGATTTTGTCACCACAATCTGTCATATCAGGAATCCTCCCAGTAAAACCATTGAATGACACATTGAAGTAAGTTAGATTTACAGATCCAAGAACCCCAAAAGGAGCTAAACCAGTGAAAAAATTGCTACCAAGATCCAACACTTTCAAGCTCCGGCAGACCGAGAGTTGCTCCTCAACACCTCCTGATATTGCATTGCTTCTTAATGAAACATAATCAAGCCTTGGGATATCACAGAGCCTTGATGGAACCCCACCACTCAGATTGTTGAAAGAGAAGTCAAACCCTTCAAGGTTGGAGCAATTAGACAGAGATTCCGGGACCAAACCCGAAAATGCGTTGTGAGACAAGGAAACAAACTTGGTTTTGTAACAATGCCTGAACAAAGATGATGGTATCTCCCCAGTGAAACCGTTCCTTGACAAGTCGAGAAGTCTAATGTTTGGCAAATCGCCAATAAACTCCGGGATTGATCCTGATAAGGCATTTGAGCTCACATTGATCTTCCACAAGGTTTTAATATCGCCATATTCTTGTGGGATATTGCCACTAAACAGGTTTCCAAACAGTGTCAGAATCCTCAAAGACTTTAGCCCTGACAAAGCAGGAGAAAGTGTTCCACTCAAACTGAAGTTCCACAAAACAATCCTCTCCACAAACCCATCAGAGTTACAAAACACACCATTATAATCTACACAAGGATTTTTACTTGGAGCCCATGATTCCAAGCTATTGTAGGGATCATTTGTAACATTCCCTTTGAATTGAAGCAGAATCTCTCTCTCATCAGTTGCAGGCAAAACACAATTCAATAGCCCAAGAAAGCAATAAAGCAAGCACAAAAGAAGAGCATGACAAGGACTAAAATGGCGGGGTTTTCTCATGCTCGGAACAAGGGTATAAATGAGAAGTAAAAAAAAAAATAGAAACAGAATCTACCCGTTTGGCATTATGGCATTTGGACAAGATTAATGAAGTTAGATCCAAGCTTCTCTGCTATAGTCTGTTGTTCTTCCACCAAATGTTGTCGTTTTTTTTGGCACTTGGATTTCCCGGCATAAACAACAAACCAGAATGAGAAACATTCAGATCGTCATAGCCACATAGCAACATCTTTTCTTCACTCGAGCACATTTTTTGTTCATGAAGAATTAGAAACCCAAATGCCCATTTGAATTAAACCAAAAAAAAAAGAACAATTTTTTTTTCTGGGGTTGAACAAAAGGACCCCAAAATCTGATCTTTGCAAAAAGCAAGAGAGAAGGGAAATGGTGGGCAGGAAGGTATGGGCTTTAATTGCTATTGAGAACTTACAAAGTAGAACAAAATTTAATTATAAATGAAAATAAAAAATAAAAAAACAGCAAAGAACAGCAGTTTGCCACGACCCAAGTGAACAAACTGAACCACGTGCATGTCCATTTTCTCTCCTCTTTCTCTCTCTACACTTTCCTTTTATTTTACAGACACTTTCATGTATTACAATGATATGAAACTAAAAAAAAAAAAACTAAAAAAACTAAAACCCCTTTGTGTTTGTCTCTCTCTTCCTCTGTCTGGGCACCAAGTAGGACCTGTCTCTCTCTCACAGCATTTATTCTCTCTCACCAACCATGCCATTAACCTCCATGATCATCATCATTTCCACACCACAGAAATTTTCTCTCCCCATTTAAAAGAAAAAATAAATAAGAAGGAAGCTAGTGAAGAAGAAGAAGAACAAAGGAATGGTCTTTTTCTTTTACTGTTTCTTTTCGTCTGTACTTCCTCTCTCCTACCTTTCTTCTTCTTCTCTCTCTTTTTTTTTTTTTTTTTTTCTATATATCCGTTTTGATTAGGAATTTAGGACTTTCTGAGGAGATATTCGTTGTTCAATTTATTATTATGCATATACTTATCACGTCAATTTTTTATCCTAATAATCATAAAGATTAATCAAAGTAGATGAGACGTCAATTTTGTACCTTTCTGAGTTTTTTTATTACTATTTTTTCTTCTTTTAGAGATAATAGTCCAAACAAAACGAAACAATTGTTGGGAAAAAAAAGTGAAAAGAAGAAGGGTGGAAATTACTATGAAGAGACGCATGTGAAATACGTTTTACACGGTATTTTCCAGCTGGAAAAGTAAAAATAAAAATAAAAATAAAAAAAATTGAGCACTCCTGTGCATTAACTAAAAGGTCCACTAAGCCAAATCAGTCCTGCCACGTCTCATTGAGTTTTTTCAGAGGACGTTTTTTTAAAGGAATTTTGATTCCGTTTATTTTATAGATTTAATTTAAGTTAGAATTTAAATTTTATTATAATAAATTTTTTTTTAAAAACAGTTATATTTAATTTTTTATTATAATTAAAATTCTCATATAAAATCACATCTCAACTTAAATTAAAAATTTAAATCAATGAATTAAACAGTATTTTTCCACCTCATATTTCCAAGTTATTAATCTTTTGAACAATAACTGTAGGGGCATTGAACCAAGCAACATAGAGATTATAATTGGAGTCAACCTTTTATTAGTTATAGTGAACACTAATAGTATTACTTAAAGTTTTTCTAATCTTTTTATTTTGAAAAATATTTTGGTTGCGTTTGAATTAATATTGTTTTATTTTATAGGATTACTTTCATTAATGTCTAGTGAGAATATCCATTTGTCTCGATTTTGTCATTGAGGTCTAATTACTCAAACGTGTTAATTACACTTTCATTGCAGATTTCAAAAAAGGTAAAATAGTAAAAAAAAATTTAAAATAAAAAAATGGGACCATGTCTAGGCTATATGACATGAGTTTCTTTTATTTCATATCATTTTTTTTCTTTTAAATTTTTGCTTTCAAAAATGTGTTTATTTTAACCTTTTTATCTCTCTTTTTTTTAGAAATTTTTTCCGATAAGCTTTTTTATTGATTGTGCTAATTTCTGACAGTAGAATTAATCAAAATCACATCAGATTAAAAAAATATACATAACAGATAAATTTTAATACAGACATGTTGGTTGAAAAATAAAGAATTATTGATAGTTCATTTTTTTTAATTCTTCTAGAGAAACTCCCATTTATAAAGGTAAAATTGCACTCCAAATTTAAGAAAACACACACACTAATACTAACAGAATTGATCTCGTAATACAAGAAAGCTTAATCCCGACCACAAATAGGTGCCACTTGTAAGTTCTAATGAAACACATAAAGAGATCAAATATGCACCAAGATCCAACAAAAAAAAACTGAAAAAGAGTACCAACAATTGGGCACACAAATAACTCTTTTAACAGTACCTCTATAATTAATGGAAAATTATGATCAATCGCGATTAGACGTCTGGTTCATGGATTCAGAATCATGATTCATAATTATTTTTAATTTACGTGTATTTTTTGTAAAAGAAAGTACTGTAACAAATCACGAATCATGACACGAATTCACCAACTAAACACAAGAGACCTAAAAAATAAAGGTCACTCACAATATCGCAAAAAAAAAGAAAAAAGAAATCTTACAAATTAAACACATAAACACAAATAAAAGATAGAGAGACCACATTTGTTCTTATAAAAATAAAACCATACTAATACAACAATAAAAAGCAACAATAAAGAGGCGAATTCGATGCCTATACTGAAATAAAACAACTAAAACCAAATGGCCGAGAGACCTCTGCCTCGCGCGAAACCCAACCGGTGACATGAGACCAGAAACGAAGAATCTACAAAGGAGCAGAGCCATTTTATCCCTAATGAACCTGTAACGTGTCATTCTCATGATAAACTTCATGTGTACATAGATAGCTTATTAACGAAATGGTCAAACTTGAATATTTTTAAAAATGTGGTCTTCAAAAGTGAAAGCTAGTTTCCATACAAAAATAAAAAAGTTTGAATGTTAGGATTCAAGATGAGTCGAAAATTTCTCTGTGAACGTTGGTAAAAAAACTTTTTTTTTTTATTATAGTTCATTATCAAAATTATATTTAAAAAGTTTAAATAAAACTCGACCATCATTTAAGGTCTCTACCAAATTCTCCTTATGATTTATTTTTATTTTTTGGGTCTCTTTTTTTTTCTGTTAACGTTATTCTTTCCCGCTTCAAAGCTTGACTTTTTGTATTTGACTAAACAAAGACTGAGGCCTCGTTCGTTTCGCTGATTCGAGATTAAAATTCGAGTTTTGCTACAGTAAAAAACTCTCACATACAATCACATCTCAACTCAAATTCTAAACTCGAATCAGCAAAACGAACGAGACCTGAGAGAATCTATTCAGCAAAACAAAAAACCCACCAAGGAAGAGGAAAAATAAAAATAAATAAAATAGAAAAAAGGAGTAATGAGAAAAGTACAAAAGAGAGAACTGCATTTATTGTCGACCGTTAGATCATTTTCAAAGTTTGATCATCTCAACTTTCTTTCACATTTCATATTCCGCGTTTGGACGGCATGTGAAATGGCCTATAGTGGGGGGTTTTAGAAAATGCCTTAAATGCACCGAAATATGACAATAACAGTTGGCAACTTCATCGGTGGTCCCAAACAGACGTATCTCAGCCTTATAATTTTTTTTAATAATCATTAAAAAAATTCTTATATTTTTTTGCTCTGAATTATATATTTCTTTGCCTATCTACGTCATACAACAATGCTTCAAAGAACAGAACTGTTCTAATTGCGCAACTAACGACCGGTTTGAATTGGCTTAAAAAAAATTATTTTTAACTTATTTAGTTTAAAAATCGTTTTTAAATATGTTTAGATGGATAATTTTAAAGTATTTTATTTTTTTAGTACTTTCATAATAAACTATCTCTTTAATATTTATGAAAAAAATTTTTATTTACATTTTTTATTATTTTATTTGTGGACAATAAATTGAATATCTAATTCATATATTTTTATTACAATGCTTTTTATAACAATACGTGCTTTTGATTTTTTTATCCAAATATGTTTAAAAGCTCATCTTAGATATATAAGTATTTTTTCAGGTACTATCCAAACACTAATTAAAAACCTCATATTTATGCTTATCTTCTTCTACTACTTAAAAGTAAAAGCACAAGCTATCACAAATGAGCCTTAAGATCAATAAACACGCGCTTCCCTATTTAGGCATCATTCAGTTCGTCAATTCGAGTTTTTTATTCGAGCTGAAATGTGATATTATGTGAGAGCTTTTAACTAGAACAAAATAGTTATATGTGACTTTTTGTGATAGCTTTTAACTGTAACAAACCTAGAATTAAAAACTTGAATCAGTAAAATGAACGGGGTGTCATTTAATTTTAAGCGCGTGTAAGACACGCGATTTCTTTGGTAAACCAAGCCAACGCAAGCACTGCATGCAAATGGTATAGTAATGGTAGCTATAAATGTGTATTTCACTGGTCACCATCTTCTTCACCGTCCCATCTCTTACACTTTGAGCCAAAAAGGGCAAAAAAAAAATAAAATAAATAAAACACATTGCAAAAGGGTAGATGACAAGACAATTTCTAACGGGAAAAAATTATAATTTTTGGTTCCAAGGAAAAATATATATGCTGCATGAATAATTGAATATGCTTTGCTTCAATCCAAAGATATTAGTTTAGAAGGATCCAAACTGCTTAATTAAAAAAAATGGTTTGATAAAGATGTTTCACTGCAAACAAAAGTGAAAAGTTACTAGCATTTGTTTCTTTGGGGAACAGAGAAAAGCTATAGAAATTTTTTATTCCATGTGAACTTGGCTCAATTTTCTTCTCAAAATTGCTGAATATATTGTCTAAAAAAGTTCAGAAATAGAATTATTGAATGTCGTTTACATGTTAAGTACTATTATGTTTCTTGTAGCGGCAATATTATAATTTGATACACGAGAGTTACATGACACATTTGGTACCATGATTATGTCAAGGAAGAGGAAAAGAAGACCATTTATTGAAAACAAAACAAAAAACAAGAAACATTATAATGCATGTCATAGGACAAAACTGTTCGCAAGCATGAAAGTGCCAAAAATGTAAGATATCATTGACCACTAGCGCATGACGGTGGAGAATATCAGTATAATTTACCATTTCAATCATGGAGATGAGTCAAATGTTATAAAAAAAAAAAAAACTACTCGCGCACACACACACAATCTATTTTTATATAAATTTCATCTGGTTTCTAGAGCAACACAGTCCCACTCATGCATGTATATCAATCATACAGCTATGAAACTTTCAAGCGTCTCTTTCACTGTTTTTTATTATTCTATTCTTTTTATTATTTTTTTCCTTTTGTTGGCATTAATGGGTAATGGCTAGAGAAGCACTGTTATTTGAATACAATGTCTTCCTTCATTTATTCCTTTGAATTTGTATAATGCTAATGCTAATTCTCAATTTTCATATTCAGAAAAGAGACCAAACAAAAGACTCCTCTGCAGAAATAGACACCGCAATAATATTGAAATATATTCAATTACCTGTTTATTGTGGCCAATACTTAAGTAATTGTCTTTTAACTAATGCGAGCACTTGGATGCTCAACTATTTTAAAGTGAACACCTCAACTTGAATTAAAAGAATATCCACACGACAACATCATTTTCTCATTGGGGCATGCATACAAGTATAATTAAAGGATTAAGACAGTGTATATGATTGTCAGTTTCTAACATATCCTGTCGTTTTGATAAATACTTCTTCAGTTCTTTGACATGGTAGATCAGATTGGTTATAAAATAAACTTAATTGCATCTATACAAAAGTTTTCTTATCTATCTACAAGAAAACTAGAAAACTTGTACGCATCAACTACAACCACTGCAAGAAAAATAGAAAATAAGAGAAATCCTACACATAAATGGAGGAATCTGTAAGATTGTGATGGAAATGTTTCACCCACAAAAAAAAAAGAAAAAAAAAAAAAGCAACACCCATTTTCTATATACAGTAAACAATCTTGTCCCAAAGTCAATTCAATTCTTTCCAACCAAGATTTCAAACATATACAAGTGATAATTGATGAAGAGAGAGAATGGGTTGGAGAAAGAGGGGACAAAGAGATACCAAGGAGGGAGAAATAGAGGAGCAAAGAAGACATTTTCTTTTAAGGAAGAAAGAAGTTCCAGTATAACATAGATGTCAATCATGTTAGAGCTTTGTCACGGTTTCCTTTGCGTCTGTCCTTTTCCTCAATGTTTCTATACAATCATTATAAGATAAAGAAACCCCTCTTATGGATGAAGTCGTTTTAATATTTTAACTCCATCCAATATGTGCCATGCTCATTCCCTGGCCAGGCTCGTGTAACATATGGTTTTCATGAAGCCAAAAGCTTTACTTACTGCAATAGCAATTCATCTTCCCGCTGAAGTTGCTTGAGCTTCCTTTTTGCGTATACAGTGAAGAAAGCCGTAGTAGCTGTCGCAGCACAGAATCCTAAAACGGTAAAGATTATCTGTGGAGCGGAAAGGCCTTGGTGCTCATGTGAAGCGTCTGCGAGTGTCCGTATTAGGATCCCACTGCAATGGAACGATAATGAAAAAAACTAAACGATCAAGAACACATAAAAGTTTCTCTGGTTCAAACGTAAAAACAACTTCCCTAAACAAGCAGGGTAAAGGAAAGAATGGGTGAGATGATCAGACATCTAGAAAACAAGGTTTTAATATAAATTGAAAAGCATAATTGGAATTCTCTCTTTTAAGTAAACGAACAAGGCAATCCTACAAATCGTAAACATGCACGTAAATGGAAACTAATGCAAGGCAATAGGGAAGAAAACGAAGAAGAGAAACCAAGTAAAGAGATCAATTGCAACTACCCAACCTGAGTTAGTGCATTGCTTAAGCATTGCAAATCCCAACCCTACTTAAGAGAGTCCAACGATGCTTCATTAAGTTATAAACCATAGTAGCAACTCAAGAGGGCTTAAATTTCTACCAGAAAAAAACTCTTGAGGGGTTTTATCAATTGAAGATGGAGGTGACAGCAGAGGCAAGAACAAACAAAAAATCATGCTTTGAACGTACACTTAAATGCAAAAACGAGGAAAATTCTGGCACGTAAAACCAGCTTTAAACTATAAAAGAAAGACCCCTCAATCAAACAAGAACGGATTATCACATTGACTATTCTCCAGTCATTTATGCTTATAAATGAATTCAAAAGGTGACATTTCTCAAAGATAAATACGAATGCAATCTCCTATTTTGCACATGAATATTGTTGGGAATGAGAAGTATCTGCACACGGAATGCGTCTTACAGAGCAATACATTTACGCAAATAAATGTGGTGATTCATGAACGATGAATGCTAGAAAACCATAGGCAAGAGGTTATACGCGCATATACTAAAACACATATAGGACCCTGTCCTCAAAATGATGCACAACACAGACAGAGAAAGGGAGGGAGTTATCATACGTGTACATGGTAACAAATATTTCAGGCACCATTCCAACCAAGGACCCTAGAAAGTATGGGCCATATTTAACATTTGTTGCCACAGCGCAGTAATTGTAAATGATATACGGAAATGGAGAAACCCTGATCAACATCACAGCTCGAAACTGATGAAGCCAGTCTCCTTCACCGGCCGATCTCAGAATTGAAGCTCTCTTTGGATACTTTTCCAACCAACCCTACAAAACATAACAAAAATAGAAAGAATGACTTGTATAAATAGGATGAGCGCAGAGATAAAATCAATCGGTTAACAAAACAGAATCATGGAACACACTTGAATCTTATGATAGAAGTGAGAGCCAATGAAGTAAGGAAGAGATACGCCCACGGCGGCCGCTGATATGATAAGCAGAAACCCAAATCCATAACCGAAAGTCATTCCGGCCACCCACATTGACGGCGAAGACGGTAGAAGAAGGGTGGGGAATATAGCCACAGAAGCAAAAACCAGAACTGCAAGCACTGGAGTGCTGAATGTTGTTGTCTCCCAATGTATAAGAGGAATAATCTCCTGATATAAACACAATGTTATTCATCAGCAGCAGAACAACATGACTTTGCAGTTTGCATGTATAATGTAAAATATACAATCACATATCAATTGGGATTTTGGAAACCAGGGACATGCAAACCTAATAAAGCTCAGTCTTGAAACTCCTAATTTATTTTTTCCCCAATTGAAGCACAAATTCAATTGGGTAATAAAAAAGAAGCTCCATTTCATCGGATGAAGTATCTAAAACCCTTTAAGAAACAACTTGATGTCCTGAAAATCTAATGCATCAAGTTTTGCGCTTCATATGGTCGTCAAAACAGCCAAAAATCATAATCCAAATATCAAACAAATTAGGGTAAAATCACAAAAACCGCAAATTAGAAACCGGAAAAACATGTCTTTTCCTTCACAAACGAAGAAAAAAAAAGCCATTCCCAAATATATACAGGAAAAAAAGAAAAGAAGTCGATTTCAAAATTCAAAAACAAATAACAAATATATTCACAACAGAAATACAACAAGAACCAGAAACCCTCCACGAAAAGAAGAGAATAATAAATTACAAACCTTATCCATGAAAAAGGGACCAATCCATTTGACAAAAACCCCGGCCAACAAACTGCCGCAGAGGACCAATAGAACCAACCGAGCCCAGTACCACCACGATCTACCACTGATCGAAGAAGATGGTTCGACGGAGCCATCAAACCCTTCTCCAGGCCGGCATTCATCAGGTCCCATCCTCAATTTCACGTATCCCTCATTGACGTCGCCGCCGCCGAATCTGACCCCGAGCTCCGGCACCACCTCGCCCTGACCGTCTTCCTCATAATAAGTCATGGAAAAACCCCCCGGAGAAAGCTCAGGCGCCTCGTCCTCCTTCGTTTCCCCTCCGGCGAAGACGCAGAGAAGAGAAGATCGCCGCTCGGAATTCGGAAACCCGAGACGGAGAGGAAATTGCACGAATTGCAGAGAATGTAGGGTTTCAGAAACGAGAATCGAAACCGGAGAAGGAATGAAGGAAGACTGTCTGGTAGAGATGCGTGGGAGGTTTTTGATGAAGAATAATAAAAAACAAAATAAAGGATTTTCAAAAAAGAAAAGGAAATAAAAAATATTAAAAAACGAAAATATGTGGGAATAAAAACAGACTTTACGAAACTGCTAAATTTTAGAAAACGGTGTCGTTACTCTTCTGTAGTGAAACACGCGTGTTGTGACGAGGATTTGTTAGCGTGACAGCTTTCCAATACTTCCAATTTCCATAACATAACGGCTATTTTTATAATTTTATTGCTTTACTCTTTTTTGGGGTGCTTTTTTCCGATTATTTTGATTGGTTGTCGTAGCTTCACTGTCACGGTAGGAATGTGGGGCCCCAGCTGGTTCTGGACCGACTGAGTTGACTCGCTCACTGTTTGTTTTATATTTGTTTTTGACGTGTACTGAGTCGATAATAAAATAATAAAAATACGTTTATTTAGGGGAAGAAAAAAAAAAAAGAGAAACAAGAGATTTGTGAAATTGACACGTCATGAGTTGGCAGATTGGAATGTTACACGTGGATTTTGAGCTGGCAACAGCCAGTCTCATGCGAGGATAAGTTTATTAGTCCGCGAGTGCAATTTTAGGTTATATTCATTTTACTGATTTAAGTTTAAAATTTAAGTTTTGTTACAGTAAAAAAATTTTGAGAAACAGTTACATTTAATTTATTTTTTACAATAAAAAACTTACATATAAAATTATATCTCAACTCAAATTAAAAATTCGAATCATTAAATTAAAGAGGCCCTCAGAATAAGGCACGTGAAAGGTTGGATTTTGATAATCATGAGCTAATCATCTTTTTTTTTTTTTATAAATAATTATGAGCTAATAATTTTACTCCGCATATTCCTTTTTAAATTATTTCCATATGTCTAAAAGCAAGAAATTTTCGTTATTTCATATAAATAGTTGCAACTAGATAATTAAAAAAAATAAAAAAACTAGAGATTCGCTTTCATTATAAATTATCGTTATTTCATATAGAAACTCGAGATTCACTTTTATTATGTGATAAATTTTTGTTTTTTTTGGAAAATGACAATTTTTTACTTAAAGAAAAAAAGGCCTTTTTTTTTGTCTAACCGTTTAATTAAATTAAAATCACTTTAAAATTAAAAAATATACAAAATAGATAGGTCGTGTTTAGAATTAATCCGGTTTTTATTTTTCACATTTTTCGAGAAAGAAAAAATAAAAACGTTTCTTTTAATCGTCTGTTCAAAACTAAACTGTTTTTCCGTTGAAGAATTTGTGGGACGGTTGAAACTTGAAGTGCGTAGTAACTTATCCAATTATAAATATAAAAAAAGATATATAATAAAATTTCCATTTGAATAAAGATTTAATGAATGTCTAGCAAAAAAAAATGAATTAGTGAATTTTCAAAATTTCATGAAATCCTAACCAACTCCATAAAAAATTTCATCTATTAATACAAATATGTTAATTTAAATTTCTGAAAAGTGAAGATGACTCAAAACATCTAGGGGTCCTTTTTATAGGGTTTAAAGGAGACGATTACTTGGTCTCTTTCTTATACGGGACAAGATATTTTATTAAAAATTTTCTTTGAGTTTTCTCAATCGGTTCACCATTTTGAACATATAAATATATCAATACGATTTCCTCATAGAAAAGAACACAAATTCAATTTGAACATTCACTAATACAAAGTCGGCCCTCCTTAAAATTAAGCCTTAAAATAGTACCTAAAAAAAAGAGTTTTCAAAGTCATTTTTCCAATAATTTCCACTCTAACAAAATAGATACATAAGGCAATACAAACAAATAGTACATAAAATATTACGTATCTAAACGAACATAAATAAGGAAGAACAAAATTGATCAATATTAGTGGCCGCCGTACATGGCTCATTAAGCGAAGAAAAAGCTATGAATTCTAACCATAAACTCTATCAAAAACCACTGAAAAAATATATCAACGTCACCTAGCTTCGTCGTTTACGATAAATTCGTACCGAAAAAAAATAGGAGAGACAACCAAAATAGAATGTATCTTAGGCTACTAACAATTATAGTCAATTGACAACTTGAAACGACACAAAGGGCAAGTATCACCCCTCTTTAACCACTCTAGGATACAATCTTCATGAAACATATGAGAGCAAGGCATGCGAGTCACGTGGGACCCAATAATCACTTCTTCCATGCAAATCGGACATATCAACCTTGATTTATCACCATCGCCATTACTGCATATTCCATCATACCTCAATTTCTGCAACGCCTCTACGGCCGACTTAGCCGCCTGATTCAACCCAAACGCTGCTACCGCCTCATCCTCATCTAATCCAAACATCGACATCACCGTCGCCACACCCAGCTCATCCTCATCCGATCCAAGCATCGTCGCGGACGCATCCTCATCCTCATCTGATCCAAGCATCCTCATCGCCACATCGTCATCGGTTTGAAACGCCGCAGCAGTCACAACCTCATCCGATATTGACCGAAATAAGGCCGCACTAATATTCACCGGCTGTGATCTTCTCAAATCACTCCTTGAAGTGAAAAAATCCCCCAAACGACGCCAATGAAGAGGAAGATAATCTGAATTTGAGGCGACAACGATCTTCTCAATCGTGACGGTCATGCGAAGCTTATAATTATTATGACCTTGCGCTTCGCGAATGATCCGACAGGCGAATCCCGAAATCTTCCTCACCATGTCTTCATTACTGAGCAGCAGGCTAGGGTTTGACTCCGTGCTGGAGACCTCGTCATCTAACAACCAAATGAGGTTCTCCAAACGGAAAGGGATTGGCGTGTCTGACAATATTCTGGCGACGACGAAGGAATTCCATCCCGATTCCGATTCCAAAAGAGGAATTGAGACTGGGAATTCGTGTCTTGTGTAGTTAACTGTATGGATTCTTGGTCTCTGCCGTTGTACGCAGACATGTTTTTCGGTGACGTAGAAAATAAAGGTGAATTGTGGGTGGGGAATGGTTTGGTTCCTTGGGAAACTACTGTTTTGTGCTGCAACATAGGTACGACATAAGTTGTTAGTGGAAGCCATTCTGAAATTGAAGAATACTTTTTAGGCGTTTTATTAGGAAAGGTTGTTTCTTATTATATATCTTTGATTTGGTTTTTATTCATTGAGATAATTTGTTTTTAATTTTTAAACTAAAAGAGATAAGCTTTTAGTTTTTCGATTTTTCTTTTTTAAATGGATGATAATAAGCACTCTTTTACGTAAATCATATGATAATGCTTGAGACGTACAGCCAAAACTAATAAACGACGATAACTTGAGGGTGCATATAATATTCTATTGACGACAACAAACTAAGAAAGGATGATGTTTTGTAAAAACAACAATGCTCATGTGAAACGACCAAATATCCTTGCGCAAAACATAAAAAAAAAATCTTAAAAAATAAAACAAAACTAGAGATCCGCGTTTATTATGTTCAAAATTAAAATTTAAACTATTTAGTTTAAAATCGCTGACTTTAAAAAAAAGGACATTTTATGCTAACGGATTAAATTTTGTAACATTTTATGCTAACGGATTAAATTTTGTAAGTGTTGAACTATTTTAAAAGTCATTTTATGCTAACGGATTAAATTTTGAAGGTATTAAAATGTGCATTATTATTGACATCCTCAAATTCACAAGAATTTCAAAATAACAATGTATTACAATTGACATTATATCTTTTATAGGATATAGTGTCTGGCAACGTTAAGCCTCGATCTGTTTGAGACACCAATAGCCAATATATAAAGTTCATAAATTATATACAAATTCACTAGACAGAAATAATTTCAATGATAATCATGCATGGATGAATCTGTAAATAATAATAACAATAATAATATTGCTTACATATGATTTTTGGTCTCTGCCGTTCATTTTGTTAGTTTGAATTACAACTCAATTTATTTTGTTAGTTCGAATCACAACTCAAATTTTTACTACAATTTTTTTTATAAAAATTAAAATTTAACTTTTTCTGTTATAGTATTTTTCAAAACGTACGGGGCTTATGGTGTACAAGCTTTCCATTAATGAGAATATAATATCTATAGAGTTACATGAGAAGTTTGAATTTAAATCTAATACTAATTTAATATTTAAATAATTTAAACTACAAATTTATCTCCTCACAATTAATAATGAAAAATAATTTAACCTTAAAATAAAAGATAATTACTACTTTAATCTCTAAACACTAGGATAAACTAAATTAAATAATTATAAGATAAATACAGCTATTTAGATTTAAATAAATTAATCACATCCTTATCAAGAACTGTGCGTTGTTAAAAAAAAAAATTAGGGAAATTGCAGCACATATCATTTTCCATGAACCTATGGAAACAAATATCACTTATTGAACTTGAAAAAATTGACAGTTTTGAATTTTTCTCCCTAGAAATCCCTAAACTACCCTTAAAACTCATTGGAGTCACCACCGGAGAAGAAAACACCGTCTTCCAACAGCTGTTTTCTGGAGCTGCGAATTGGAGGTTGATAGTGGAGAATATCATAATGATAGCGGATGATGGTCTTTCTTATCAACCATTTTCGGAGCTTGCTGAAGCTTCGAACCAGAGAGAAGGGAGATGAGATAGAGGAGGGCAACACGACTAGTGGTGTGAGCTCTGGCGAGCTTTGGTTGTCACCGCAATCGAAGGGAGATAGAGATTGCGATTGAAGAAAGAGAAGGGAGAGAAAGATAGATCAGAGAGAGACACTTTCATTGAAGGAGAGAGAGGGGCGTGGAGAATGAGGAGAAAGCGTGCCAAAAAAAGAAGGAAAGTGAGGAGAGAGGAGAAAAAGGAAATGGGCTAATGGGGTTATTTTTGGGTTTAAAATATGCTATTAAGTTTCTTTCCTTAAAATTGTACTATTATTTTTAAGGAAAAAGAAGGAAATAGGTCAAGACTTGTGATGAATTAAAATTAATAGGTTAATAATTTACATAAGTTAATAAATAGGATAAATTATTGTTTTTATCAATAACTTGTCTGGTTATGAATCAT